CTGTACGCTCCTCCCCTCCCCCTTCCCATGGGTGCCCCCCTGCCCCACCCAAACCCCCATCCGCCCTCTCACCACAGCTGGAAGCCGTGCAGCAGGCCCTCCTCCACCACAGGCATCTCGCTGTGCACGACGCCGCGCCCCGCCGTCATCCACTGCACGCCGCCCGGGCCGATGACGCCCTGAGGGGCCGCCCGGCCGCGCGAGGGAGCAACAGCCGCGGGGCAGGGGTCGGCTGGGCGATATTACTTGATCCATATGCCCGAAGCTCGGGCGGCCCGGGAGCGCCTGTGGTCCAAGGGCTCTCGGCGAGCCGGCAAGTGCAGGCGGGGTTTGGGGTTGCTGCCTATCATCGGATAACCAGGGTTTCAGGGGGCCCACCTTGTTGCCCATGCTGTCTGCGTGCTCCATGCGGCCGGATAGCATGATGGAGCATGTTTCAAAACCGCGGTGGGGGTGGTCTGGGAAGCCGGCCGACGCCCTGCGGCAGCGGGCGTGGGGACAAATTTCGCCGTCAAGTCAAACGGACCGTGTTGGATTGACGGCGGGGGGCGGCGACGGATACAGACTCTTGGAGCGTACTCGCTGAGAGGGCGAAGGGCATGGGCGTGGCGCGATGGCTCATACAAATTTGCAACCCAAATTGTCAGCAGTTCGCTCGCCCGGTATTGCAGCCGCAAGAGCTGGCTCGCACAGTGCGCAGCCAAGTGAGGCATGCAACGCACAAGGCCCGCGGCCGCCCGCGGTACCCCTTTGCAGGGGCCGGACCCCTCAGCTTCCGCCCTCTACCCTGCGTGCCCCCCTGACTTCCAGGGTTCCTCACCTGTCCGCGGGCAGCTTCAGCTCATCCAGCATGAGGAAGGGGTCGAGATTGCGCAGGGCGGGCGTGCCCACCTGCGAAATGGCAGCGCGCGGATCGTGTGTGTCACATGGATGTCTGGGTACAGGTGCATGTGCTTGTGGTTGTCCGTGAAAGGCATGTGCACGCGCACGTGTGCGTGTGAGCGCGTGTGTGTTTTGGGGGGGGGGGGGGG